CTTAAACGAAATTGGGTGAATACATCTCATATTACTGATTTACTGGTAGTCACAAAAACAATACTTAATTTGAAAAATAAGTGTTAGTACACGTAATCCTGTGAATAAGTTTTTGGATCATCACACTGAAATTATGATCAGTCGTCACTCCAGGATCGAGTAGATTGAGTTGTGAGTATAACAGCAAGTGAGAAGATGGGCTGAGAAATTCAGTGAAAGCAAATAAATACTACAAGAATGCCCATTTTATTGGAAATTGCTGACCCATTTTATTTTACCCTTCATTTCGTTTAAGAAATTCGTAATTTGGCTTCACTGCAGATCGAAGGAGGATTGAGTGATCTGAAGTTGTGATCGTGGATGCTGTAAAAAAGTCCTCGGCATACCGTTCCCCAATTGCTATCCATTTGTTCTGAACTTTCGTCTCTATCACTATGACACAAAGCATCAGAGCAGGGACTCAATTTAAGATAATTTCCCAAGAAAGATGTGTTAAATTGCCTTAGATGACGGTTTCCTGCACTGTCGGACGACTGTCAAGATGGGATAAACACAGGCTCAGTATGAATGAATTATGGTCTTAGAACTTTTGGGAACAATTCCAAGTTGCCAACTGGAAAGCAATCCTACACTTTATAAATCACTTTATCCGGATTTAAAAAACTAAATTAAAGACAAATTAACATAAATTTATTTTGGGATTCTTCAAAACGCAGTCTCTATTCATATCTATGTTGACCTCTCTCCATCCTTATCTGTACATGCACTAACATACACATATACATATACATATAGATATTCGTATCTTCTATTACTCAGCTCACAATCGTCTAGAATACCCTCCAAGTTTGCATTTCGGATTCATTCTAACCGGTCTCATGGCGAAATGGTGTCGCAATCTAACTCAATTCGTATGCTTTCTGTACAAAAGATAAAAAAAGAAATTTTTCAGGTGCATCGGTTACGAATGGTCCTCTCATTCCGCTGCCGTCCATCCCAAGGGTCCGGCCTGATGATGATTTCCTGGTCTCTGACATCACTCTGCCGCATGTGGGTGCCTGATGCCTGCGAAAGAATAAGGTTTTAACAACACCGTCTTGGCTCACCTGAATCAAGAAGTGCAGCAGCGTTACACGAGGGTTGTTGGAGCGAATGTCCGACAGTTTCAACAGACTGTCTATGGCAAAACCCGCAGCCCCTCCCATACATTCGCCCTGTTGCAGGGAAAAAAAACGAAAAGAGAATAGTCGTTACAAGTTTTGCATGTCTTCTTCCCTGAAGGAAGCCGAAAAATACTCAAAACATGATCCCACTTTAAGAATTAATTTCATTCGATTTCAGTTAAGTGACGAAGGACTGGTAGTTGAATTTTCCCACAATCGTATGAGTAGGCCCCATGTTTTCATTCAATTTCATACATACAAAAAGGTATTCTCATCCAGACTAGACTGTACTGCAACCTAGACCTCGCACAAACTTGTCTTATCGGCATCCCCAGCGGGACACGGAGCCTAGAAACGCGAGGTCTGCTCATTGGATTGTGGAGAAAATCAAATGTCATTCCTTCATCACACAAAATGAAATATGGTGAATGCATTCATTATATCAGATCTACCGATACTGTATGAAGCCTAGTTATGAAACGAAAAACGATACCACTTTGTCGGAGGCAACTGTTAAACGAAGATAAGAAGAAAAAGTGGATTTGGAGGAATCCCCGAGTGGCATATTGTGAGATGACTTGATTTCGAAGGTAAACTTGGTTGGAAGGATTTCGTGATGCGGTCTCACCTGAAACCGAAGGAGGAATGTCGCGTAGGGCACATACTGCGTGAAAGAAACTACTCATTCGGATTAGTAGACACTTACATATCAATTGTCGTTAACAAGATGAGGGGAGTTTGGTATCTGGGGGGGACCATGCAACTCGTTTCATGATTTTGTCTTCCTGTCAGCTTGCAAAAAAGTTGATTGATCTACTGAAGAAGTGGAATATAAAACGATGCATAAAGAGAAATTAACACTTTCTTCAAGAGTTCCTGCGTTTAGAGCATTTCGACATGCTCTTTCTAGGTCAGGCTGCCAAAATGTGTATTACTCATGTGGTAAGGTCTAGTTGAGGAGACCTACCGAGCCATCCATGATGGAATATGTGAAGAGAAAACCGTTTTTAAAGTTGCTGAGCCCAAAAGTCCGAGCGCGCTGAACGCATGGCGAATACAGAATACTCAATAGACTGGTCGGAAACACAACGTTTTGCGGGTCACGAGGTATTCACGTTAAAGCGTAAGGTTAGAGAGTCTATAGAAATTAACAAAACAAGCGCCGTTCTGAATATGAGGAACCAGCGATGAAAAGTTAATAAGAATTATTGGGGCATTCGTAGTTCGATCTCGCCAGAATCGCGTTGTACTGCAGTCGTTTAGCTTTAACACGACGTTCAGGTTGACGCAGTTCGCGAGTCGTCCTCCTT